TATATCTCTCTCTCTCTCTCTCTCTCTCTCTCTCTCTCTCTCTCTCTCTCTCTCTCTATCTCTCTCTCTCTCTATATATATATATATATATATATATATATGCAACGGTTGGGTGACAGACTATGGGGACAACAGATTATGTAATGTTTGCTTTGAATTTCAGTGCACTTTTAAATTATATATTTTGAGCTCAGAATACTTATATTGTGTGCACTTGTTTTCAAAAAAAACATGTATTGACCTAACTACATGCTTTGAATTTCAGTGCACTTTTAAATTATATATTTTGAGCTCAGAATACTTGTATTGTGTGCACTTGTTTTAAAAAAAAAACATGTATTGACCTAACTACGTGAAACATGGCAAAACATTGTAGAATGAATTTGCAACATAGAAAAATGTCATTTGATTTGCAAAATTGCAATAGTTTATTTGCGTGATTTTTTTCACCACCCCTTTTTATACATACAATATAAGGCCTTGTAATTGTATACTTCACACTATTCCTTAGCCAGTGTGTAATAATTCTTAATTCAATCTCTTATTTCAGCATGTGACAGATGCTATAAAGTTGTCAAATGCAGAAAGAATGGGAATGCACTAACACAGACCTTGCAGGAAAAATGAGAAAGCAGAAACATAAATGAGTAATACACTGACAACAGGTTACAGGTTACATAAGAGTAGAGTTTGCTTTGAATTTCAGTACACTTTTAAATGACATATTTTGAGCTCAGAACACTTATATGGTGTGTACTTGATTTCAAGTAAACCATTTATTGACCTAGTTGCTACATAGAAAATTTGCTATATAGAAAAATATAATTTGATTTGCAAATTTGCATGTTTATTTGAGTGATTTTTTATACATACAGTATAAGGCCTTGTAAATTTACATTTCACACTCTCTCAACCAGTGTAATAATTCTTAATTCAGTCTCTTATTTCAGTATGTGACAGATGCTATAAAGTTGTCAAATGCAGAAAGAATGGGAATGCACTAACACAGACCTTGCAGGAAAAGTGAGAAAGCAGAAACATAAATATAAGACACTAAACACTGTGCCTTCAGTTATTGTTCTTTTGGCATAGACAGTATCTTTGGATCATTCTGAATAGTTTTGGATACTATCTTTAATATATTTATTTTTTTTTTTGGCTTATTTGTCTTCTGTTTAGATGCATATTTATCAAATATATTAGGCAATAAACGCTTATAAAAATCTCAATA